TAGCTGTAGAGAGCGATAAGGTCTCCTCTCAGCCTCCTCTTCACTAGGCTAAACAATCCCAGTTCCCTCAGGAGCTCCTCATAAGACCTGTTTTCCAGACCCCTCACCAGCTTCGTCACCCTGTGGAACCCTATATGGAGGGTCTGAAATTGTGTGCGCTCAAGCGAGGCACTTAGGCACACATCTTAGGGGTGTCACACACCGGACCAGTGCCTCCACCAGCATAACCAGGCAAGTCTGGGGTCCTTTTCATCCAGCAAAAAAAAGTGAAATGATCTCCCAAAGACTATCAGTCCCTGTCAAGTTTTCCCCCACCCTTTGTGCAACCCCTCTGATGTACCATTAAATTGCTAGGAAAAAAGGCGTCCTGAGGATGCTGAAAAGCAGGAAAAGGGCTGGGGAAGCATGAGTGTTCCAAGCAAAGGACTGGGTGCTGCTGTGAGTCCCAAGGCTGAGCCTCCAGCAGCTTGAGATATTTCCTGGAAGCTGTTTAGCACCTGAGATCTAAATTGACCCCAAACTGTTCCAGCGCAGGAGATCTTCCAGATCTATCAGGAGCAATGGGTGATGCTGGCTGTGCAAAGGTGGTGACGGCTCTTGTGCCCTGTGCCAGAAGTGCAGCTCGTGTCGCTGTTTTGGAGCACCCTGTGGCAGGGAACTGTGGCTTGGACACACCACCCCCCCTCCCTGGAAGGGATGCCCCTGCGCTCACCAGGTTGATGCTTCCCTTGCTGATGCTGGGCTGCTTCAAGGAGCCCCTGACATGGTTTTGTTTTTCTCTCTTTCTTTTTGGTGCCTCACTCAGGATTAAGTTTAACGACGGATACGAGTCAGTAGCAAGGTACCAAAATGTCATGACTGCTGGGATCTTGGCTTTTTTGGGGGGGTTGCTCTTATCCCAGCCCATCCCAGTCACTCCACGTCCCACAAATATCTGGCTGTCCAGGCAGAAATACGCCAAGGATCTGGAATACAGGTCGATCTAGTTTAAGCTCCAAATCTTCCACATTTCAAATGAATTCCCAAACCTTAAGCCAGGAGAGCAGGGTGTGTGGTCCAGACCTGGGTGAAGCCAATGCTTCATGCATCAGCATCACAGCTTCTCTGCAAGTGCGGGACAGCACATGAGTGTTCTGAAGCTAGAGCTCAAGCCTACAAGGGAGAAGAGCTGTACGGTAGCACAGGAGTCCTGTGCTCCAGGAGCTTTTCTGTGCGACCCAGATGTACCTGCAAACCTCCTCCATGTCACGTGGCAAAGGAGAGGCAGGTCCTGTGGTCCCTCTACAGCCGTGTCCCACGTAATATGATGATGATCACCCCGTCTGTAGGGCTAGTGGACTCCCAAAGGCGCCAGCAGTAAGAACACATCGGTACAAGTAAATTTATCTGGCTTGGCTGAGTCCAGGACAATGAGCCCAGCCCCCACCCACCCCTGTATGTCTGTTCTTCATTGCTGTGGCCCAGTGTTTGGGGGGAGGTGGAGAAGATGCAGAACAAACCTGCAGAAGAGTGCTGTCCTGCCTCTGGCAGGCAGGACCTGGGTGGCTGCAAAGTGCTGTGGGACAGTGTCTCCTCGCTACCTTGCCACCTTGCCCTCCGGTGTGCGTTGCCCTGAAGGAACCTTCTCAGTATCAGCCCGGGAGGATCCTCCCAGGGAGTGGTGGCGCCCCTGTCCCGGCCGGCTCCCATGGGCTGTGGGAGGGTACGTCTGTTTGGGTGGGTTTGTTCTTCCTCGCGTTCATCCTCGTGGCTCTGTCTCTTCCAAACAGTGAAGACCCTGAAGATCCCAGGTACTGGCCACGGTAACCCTGCTTCGCTCAGGCCCTTTGGGCGTGGTGTGTGCATGTATGTGACGTGCGTGTTGGAGTACCAGTCCCTGCATGGTGTTTGGACCCAGGGAAAGGTCCTGATTGCTTCCTGCCCTCTTCTTAATGGGGGGCAGGGCTTTCTTGTATTCATCCCATCCCTTCCTCTGCAAAGAGTAGGGCTTCTCTGTATTCAGTCTGTTCTCCCCTGTGCCCAGCAAGGACACATTTCCTTCTACTCAGGGGCCTTCCAAAGGAGCTTTGAGGATAATATTTGTCTGTCTGCCTAGTTATCCACCCATCCATCCACCCATCCATCCATTCATCCCAGTGCAGTTACCACCATCCACTGATCTGTCCTTCAGTCCATCTCAATACCATCCTATGCATTCATCTGCCTCATTGCATTTCTTTCCATCCATCACTGCAATCCTCACCATCCATCCATCCATCCATTCGTCCGTCCATCCATCCATCCATCCATCCATCCATCCATCCCAGTACAGGTCTTTCTATCTGTCCATTCATGCCAGTGCCACTCGGTGCATCCATCCTACTGTCTGGTACTATCTGTCCATCCCTCTATGTTTAACACCAGCCAGCCCAGTGCCATATGGTTTATCCATCCACGCTCTTTTTCTGTCCATTGATCTATCTCTCTCCTCCCTCGGCATTCCAGCACCACCAGTACTGTCACTATCGCTGTACCCAATTCCCTGGATGCCAGTGGGTTAGGAAGTCCTCTGTTGCTGCAAGATCTCCCCCCCGGCATGCTCACGAGTTGGGTTGAGTGGATTGCTTGGTGCATGTTGCTGATGGGGGCTTTGAGGGGAGAAGGCGGGCAAGGGTCTTCGTCATCGCAGCAGGATGAACCGCACCTGAATGGATCGCTCTTTGTGATTGCAGAGCGAAGGCTAAGGGGAAAGAGAAAAGACACCTCACGTTACCGTTCAGGTACCCCGACTCTCCCCGTCCCTGCTTGTGCCTGGGCTCACTTTCCAGCTCCAATCTCTCGCCCTTCGCAGCAGCTTTGTTGCATCCCCCAGACGCAGCTGCAGGGCAGCACAAGTTCACCTGTGCTAGTGACAGTGCTTCAGACCAAGTTGCTTGAAGGCATGAGAATTCTCTGGTGGTGCCACTGATGGGAAATCTGTGCCTTTTTCAGGCGCCCGAAGCCCAAACCCTGGCTGTCTGGAGCCCGAGAGGCACCTTTTACAGTGAGGGTTGGAGTGGAAGAGGCAAGGAGGGGAGGGAGAAAGAGTAATCTGGTGTTAGCTGCTCCGCCGGGCCCTCAGAAAAGGATCTCTGGACCTCTCACATAGTGTAATCGGCTTGTTCACCCAGACACTTATGATCCGAGTGCCCAGGACCAGCGTTGCTGCATGTGGGAGCCAGGAGAGCAGAGGGAGATGCTTAGAACAAGAGGGCAGCCACAGCTGAGCGCTTGCACCCCTCATCCTGGCCATGTTCACACCAGTGGAATCAGCAGGGGAAGGATGCAGGCTCAGGCGCTGCCCTGTCCCACCCCCCCAAGGATGTTGCTCTCCATCCTGACATGGGGGGGACACACCAGACAGTCCGGCACCCCCAGGGCAGTTTGGATGGACACTGGTGGGGAGGGAGACTTTCCCAGCCGGGCTGTGGCAGGGAAGGGTCTTGCACCAGTGTCACCAAGGGAGATGCAGATGCTCATCCCTACAGTGATGCAAAGGGCTCGTGTGTTCAGACCCAGCCAAACCAGCCACGCTCAGGGTGAGATGGTGACAAGCCACGGCTTTGCAGGGAGTTCAGACCACCTCCAGAAGCTGCAGGAGAAAGTATGGAGTGATTTAAACCCTCTCCCTGCACTGGGCAGGGGTACTAGGGCAGATTTTTACAATGCAGATGAACCAGCTGAGCTGCTGACACTGGTTTTTGCTTGCTCCCATGACAAGCTCAGCTGGCAAGGGAATGATTTCTGCTGGTTTGCTCCCACAGCGAGTGTCAGTGCACAGAGAGAGCAGGACTGCTTGTTTCAGAGGCAGCTTCTGGATGGGTTTCCTTGGCTGTTTTCTGACCCAGGCTCCAAGCTGATCCTTGCCCATGCTGGGCTGAACAGGAGGGCCCTGCTCTTCCCAGACTCCCACCCAGCACTGGGTCCTGCCCCCTCTCCTGTGCTGCAGCTGGTCTTCTGGACTTCACCGCCCTAAAAACCCATCCAGCAACACACCAAACAAAAAGTGTTGGTTGTTGTTGGGTTTGTTTTTTTTTTTTTTTCTGGGTGGTTTTCCAGCAGCTCAGTGCACAGGGAGCTGGAGCTTTATGCTCTGAAGCCACTCTCCTGCCCTGTGTACCCAGCACAGCCATGGCCACGGGGCAAAGTGGAGTAACAAGCTGTAATTAAAACACAGCCCTCCTAATTACTTTCTAAAGCTGGTTAATTGCTTTCTCCTCCCCTCTTTGCTGATACACAGTGGGGGAGATTAGCCAGGGAAGAGTGACTGGGGAGGAAAACAGGGAGGCAGGACCCAAAGAGAGAAATGTGGGAGCCATGAGAGAAGGAAAAGGGGTTTGAAAGGCTGGAAAGCAGAGATAGAGCAGGGTTCTGCAGAGCAATGCAGGGAGATGAGGAGCTGGCATCTCCTGCATGGTGTCAGGGCAGGAGGACGCAGTGTCCCTGGGCAGGGACAAGGACCCCCAGATCCGGCCCGTCTCCTCCAGCTGAGCCCTCTCTGGAGGGGGGGTATGAATACACCTTTGTGGGAGGATAAGGAAGACCGCTGCCCTCTACTAAAAAAGGAGGATAAGCCTTGTCTCCTGCCCCGGCAGCATCCCAAATCTGTGCCCATACCCACTCAGGTGCGTGCCTGCACAGCTGTACCTGCTTTACTGGCCCCACACGTGCATCCAGTGAACGCCCGTCACCTCCAGCTCCTAACACAGGGAGTCGTGGCCCTCCCCAGCCCCTCTAGCCTAGCAGAGGGTAACGCAGAGGTGTTATCCACCCAAATTACAGATGTGGGCAGGATGGGAGGGGGGCGTTGGGGCCAGCCCTGCTGGGGAAGGTTGCCCACAATGGCAGCCTGGGGCACTTGGAGCCCTCGTGAGGAGCAGGGAAGAGCAGCCTCTTCTGATGCTATGGGCTGGTCTGAGGCACTCGAAGGCACTGAAGCTTGTTTGCCTTTTGTTCCCTTGACGTGTGGCTGCCGGCTCCAGCAAAGGCAAAGAGAAGACGAAGGAGCACAAGTAGGTTTGCTCTCCTTGCTCTTTCTCCTCCTTCTTGCTTCCAGCTTTCTTAGCTCATGTTGTGGCCGAACCCCTACGTGGTGAACTCTCCCTTTCTCTGAAGCTGAGCCTGTCAGCCCTGGAGGAGCTGGGGTCCCTCGGGTGTGTGGCCCAAGGCCTTGGAGCCTGCAGAGAATATTTATCTACTGCAAAACCCCATGTAAAAGACAGGCTTGGAGAGGTCCCTGGTAGCACTGGAAGGGAATTGTGAGGTCTTGAGAGAAGCTGCCTCCCTCCAGGTTTGGACGTGTCCAGGCTCCGAGGAGAGTTTCCCAGCTTGGGTATGGAGTGCCCAGCCAGGGCTCGGGGCAGGAGAGGGTCTGGGCACGGGTCATCAGCACAGGGATGGGCAAAGGGGACTTAGCACCAGCTTTACAGCTCCAGTGCCCACAGCTCAGGCTGCCACACCAGCCATGGAGACAAGTATCTTCAGCCCCTGCCTTTCTTTTATCCCCAGCTGGTGGTGTTCATACCAGACCAGGCTGTGTCTGAGCTCTCTCCCAATAGCAGCATCCTCTGGCTTAGCAGATCTGCTGAAACTTAAGCTCGAGTCTCCTGCAAGCACAAGCTAATATCCTGCTGTCCAGGGGATGATCCCTGCAGCCACCCCGGGCACTTCCCAATCAGTGAGGTCTCTCCTGGCTCATATTTATTGCACTGCAGCTTAAGGACCAGCTTGTGTCAGCATCTTACTGAGGGATCCTCCTAAATAATTGTGCAAAGTGAGGAGGCAGAGATGAGGTGGGGAAAGGAGAGAAATGTCTTCCAGCAGTCATCAAGGAGAGGGCAAATGGGAAGAGATCTCCCTGCCCCAAGCAGCCTGGTCCTTGCTGGCTCCCCTCCCCAGTTTGGCTGTGCAGGGGTGGGGGAGAGACAGAGTGGGTCTGAGGGACGCACGGGGGCGATGGAGGCAGCACCTACCTGACAGGCAAAATTCCTGCAAAGGTATGAGCCGTGGAAACCCTGTTCCCTGCTTCTGGCTCCCCAGTAAAAAGCAATGATTAAAATGTCATTTTTAGCCATGAATAATTAACCAGGAACCTGCAACCATATATTTAACTAGAAACTGGCTGTGAGCGAGACTGCTTCCACCTCCCTGCCCATGCCTCAAAATCTGCCTGTCCCTCCATGCTCCCCTCCTGGAGAGCCACACGGGTGAAACTCTGAAGGACAAAGCCAAGAGTTTCTGGGAGCAGCAAACTAAACGGAGGACGTGTGCCTCGCCATCAGGATAATTGATCTGCTCAGTCCCATATTAGACACTAGAAAATCCAAGGGGAGAGTGCTGCAGCAGGCGGGGTGGAGACCCTGGTGTCTAATACAGGTTTAAGCCTGTTTGGAGGTTTGTCCCTGCTTGGGAATAGAATTGAGGTGTTCAGTCCTACACCCTCAAACATGCAGAACCCCGGTCTTGCCAAATGGGTTTGCAAAGGGCCAGCAGCTTGCACTGTTTTGGAGGGGAGCCGGCAGGGAGGCAGCAGCCTCTCCTCTCTGGCGTCTCGGTTCTTAAGGAAAAAAGGCTAAACCAGGCTTTGGCAGAGGGGGGCTCTCGGTGCCACCACGCCGCCTGTGTCGGCGTCTCAGGTTCTTGGGTCCTCATGTAATATTCATGTTGGGGACGGTGTCAGCTCTCTGCCAGCACCGGCTTCCCACCCGCGCCGTCGGGTGCCTGGCAGGAGCAGCGGAGGGGTTGGCACGACCTTTGTTTGGCACTGCAAAGACCCTGCTGTGTCCGGAGAGGAGGCTGGGCTGGGGTCCCCATCCCTGCTCAGTCCCAACCTGCACGTGGGGCACAGCTCCGTACCGGGATGGCTGCTCCACCCTAGGCGTGCCGCTGGCCGTGCTCCTGTCGTGGCTGAGCTCTTCCAGCATCTCCTCCTGGGGGAAGCCAAGTCCTGGACGGCTGGTGGGTGAAGGTAGTACCCCCAAGGGGTGGGAAGGAGGGGGGTATGGGATGGGTCCGTGCTCGCCTGGCTTGGAAAAGGTGACAGATGGAAGGGACTTGGGGATGAGGGTGATGGTTCCTTCCTCATCCTTCGCTTGCTTCTTCCCTTCTCATTAGCATGTACCAAGTATGTTAAAAAATCCACTGTTTTTCCTGCCTTTTTTTTTCCTTTCTCTCTTTTTTTTTTTTTTTTCCCCTCGGTGAACCTCCAAACTCCATTGTTTCCTAGATATTTGCCTCCCTGGGACTCCAGTCCACTGCAACAATACCAGTAAGGGCAGTGGTGAAGGAAGGAGGCAGCGCCAGATGTTGTAACGGGGGCTGCGAAGAGCAGCAGGGAGATGCGGCCGGGATGTGGGCATGGGGACGGCACCTGAAATTTTATGCCACCAAGGGGCCTTGTGCCCTCTGGGCTCTGCTCTCTGAACCAGCCGGAGCTGAGTCTCGTCTTGTGGACCTGCTGGAGGCTAATTCCCATTTCTGGGGCCTCTGCTGCAGTAAAACTGCCTTTGGGGACACACGGGAGGCTCCTGTAGCCGATGTCCCCAGCACACTTACTGAGGCTCAGCTGGCAGCGAGAGGCCATCGTGCTGGGAGGGGATGGGGGTGACATCAGCTCCCACGTGCATCCCTCTGGAAGGGGCTGGGTTGGGCTGGTGCTGCTGGGATGGGTCTCAGTGCACGCTCCTTGGACCAGGGGCTTAATCCCAGTCTGGTTCCACATGGCCCAAACCCAGCTTCATCGTTTTACTGGTAGTGGTGCCAGACACTGTGCCAACCAGGACCCCCTGCATCCTCAGTGCCCGTGCAAGGACATTGTTCTTTTGGTCCTGGTAGAGGACCAGCACTGCCAAGTGTCTTCCCTGCAGAGTCCTACTGGCTCCATCACCAGTTGCTCTTCTGCTTCGTTTTACTTCCCTAGGAACCTCAGAAATTCCTGGGACAGACACAGCGATTTTGTCACAACCACCTGCAAGCAAACTGCCTGCATGCCAGCTCTGGGGCTGGTGGGATTTTTTTTTTCCCTCCATTTTTAAGAAATAATTTGGAAAGAACTGACCCTGGAGGTGTGTGAAGTTGTTGAAGGGCTGTCTGTTGGCTGGATATCCTGCAAATAGCTTAAAAGTGTTACTATCCTCATAGCACCTCAAGGCAGATGTTCCCTGGCAGGATTACAGATACGGGAACCGAGCCCTCATCTTTCCTCCTGCTATCCATTGAGAAACTGCCCTTTCACTGAGGAGCCCATGAATTAATCACAGCTACCAGAGCCTGCCCTGAGGCCCGAGCGTTGCTTTAGTCCCAATTAAACCTTGGCTATAAATCGTTCCTGTCACTTCTGCTGGCCTTCTGCCCTGATTGAATTCCCCCTCTCTTGGCGAATATATTATCCTCCTATTTTCCTTAATTCTCATTTGCTTTGGTTCTGTCAGCAGCCTGCAAACTTCCAGTTGTCATCAAGACAACAAATGCATCGGGCTGGCTGCAATGCCAGGACTCCATTGGTTTTTTGGGGGGAAAAAAAAAGGGAAAAAGGGAGCAACTTTATCCTTTGGCCCCAGCCAGATGTGATCAAAGCTGAACATGGGGATCCCACAGTGTCGGTGCCGTCACCTGGCTCGTGGGCAGCACATCCCAATCCTGCTGCATCCAGGGCTGGTGCTGAGCCCTGGCTCCCCTGCCCTGGCAGCCAGCTTGGAGGCGAGGTCCAGGCTGGAGGCGAGGTTCCCCCTTGCTTCCAAGTTGGCCCAAGAATATGTCCATCAAACCTGCAAGTTTTCTGCAGATCAACACTTCCAGGTAACGGGAATTTTCCAATTAAAAAAAAAAATCCCCTTTGGCTTTACCACCTTCTGCTTTTGGGACAGTCACAGGCCATTGCCTTCGAGTTTCTCACCAGCTGTTTGCTCTTTAATATTAGAACAGGGTTATCGCATGGTCTGACTTGTGCTTCTTGCTGGTTTCAGTTTTACTATGGAGGTCTTTTCCTACTGAGGTTTTCAGTTGAATCTTCAGGCTAAAAATCCACCCTGCATCCAGACTGCATCGCTTTCACCAGGGTAACTCGGGACCTCCCACCTCTTTGCAACAGCAGCTTGGACTTAACCTCCAAATAGGAGGAGACAGTCTCCTGAAAGTATCTGCAAGGCTCCTCTTGTCTTTAACGACCTCTGCCTGTTTGCCAGATCTGCATTGAGAGCAGCCCAGGTTGCAGTGCAGAAATCCTGTCACTTACTGAACGCTGTGTTTGTGCAGATTTGCTGCATGTGTGGGGTAACGTAGGAGCCCAGACTGTCAATGTGCTTGTGGTTGCATGGGCTGATTTTGAGTTGGAGTCCGGGTCTGAGCCCCACTGAAGCACTTGGAGCTAGAAGTCAACTTCTTAAACCTTCCTTGAAATGGTGGATACCTTTAGAAAGCAACTGGCAAGCAATTGGCCAACAGTTGTCTTAGCCAACCCAGCCCAAACTGCCCTGAGTGAATTTGACCCCAGGCTAGATTGCAGGTGAGGAGCTAAGGCTGACCTGGTACTGGTGTTTGCCACGCTGGAAGGGGAAAAATCATGTTGCTGCAATGGGCTGCTGAAAAACCTTAGGGTCTGCAGAGGGTTGCTGCTGACCTAGCCAAAGAGGTGATCGATTTATTCACAGCAAGGCGGTGGTCGGATGTTCTAATGTTTAGTAGGCGGTTTCGGGTAACTGGGGAGCAATTGCACAAATGGGTCAGGAGAGGTGAGAAGTCTGTGTGCAGCCAGGGCCAGCAGCAGAGCTGGGGGGCACGGGAGGCAGGGAACAGTTTGCTCCTAACGCTGTGCACCAGCCTTGTGTTTTATCCCAAGTTGGGGCATTCCCTGAGGCAAAAAACCCCAAGACCCAAAGGCAGTGCGTTTAGCTGCGATCTTGACTCCGCCCTGTGGTGTGTTTGCAGCAGCCCCTGCTCAGTCTTTCAGCTGATATTCCCTCTCTTGCTTTTGAGCTGTGAAAGGCTTCTCCTGTTCCCAACCCTGTCACAGGAAACAGCACTAAAAATACAGTAACTGATGGGTTGTTTGGGGTTTTTTTCCCTCTCTCTCTTCTTCCAGAGCTGGGAAAGGAGTTTTTTCAGCCATGAAGCTTGGCAAGACGCGTCCATCAAAGGACGACCATCGGAAACAAGGTACGTTGTTCCTGGGAGGAGGCTGTTCCCTGCTCCAGTGCCATTTTTTGGCTATCCTCCACATCCCAGGGAAGCATCTGAGAGACCCCATAGAATCACGGAACGGTTTGGATTGGGAAGGGACCTCTGAAGGCCACTTAGTCCAAGCGCCTGCCATGGCCAGGGACATCTTCAAGGAGATCAGGTTGCTCAGAGCCCCGTCCAGCCTGACCTGGAATGTTCTCAGGGATGGGGCATCTACCACCTCTCTGGGCAGCCTGTGCCAGTGCCTCACCACCCTCGTGGGAAAAAATGTTGTCCTGGTATCCAGTCTGAATATCCCTGCTTTTAGGTTAACTCCATCACCCCTTGTCCTATCGCAACAGGCCCTGCTAAATAGTCTGCCCCCGAAGTGGCTCACGTTGGGCACAGCCAGTTGGAAAATCAGGGATTAGGTGGGGAGCACTGGGTGCTCGGGAGGAGAGCTGGAGAGAGGGGCTCCACAGGGAAATGGGAAGTGGGAACTGATGGAGAGAGTCTCCAGCTGAAGGCTTGGCCAGATATCACCCACCTTGTGATATCCCACGTGGGCATCACTCAGGCAGCTTCTGACTTGTATTGAAGGGACGATTTGCAAAAGTGACAACGCAAAGTGGGGTTTCACCCTTGTCCCTTGCTGGGTGCATGGCGTGGCAGCACCATGAGAGGAAGGACTCAGCTGCTGCGGGGCTGCCTGTCCCCCAGCTCAGCACCGCCAAAGTCAGGTGCCTTTCTGGAAATGTGCAAGAAGGTCAGTGATAGGGAAT